TACTGTTGGCCCTTTTTTCGAATTTATCAGTGGGAACCAATGCTTCAAACGCTGACTTGCAAAAGACTTCTGTAATGGCTAACTTGTTTGTGATTCGTACATACAACTGCAAGTGAACTGATAGATTACATGTGAGACAGAACATTTCGGTAGGTCACGATTATGAATAAGCTGAGCGACACTCCTAGTTGTGAGTAGCAACCGCAATTCAGCCGCAGGGTATGTACGAGTTAGAGCAGACTGTAATTTTTGACTTACGTCAGTTGTGATATGATCGCCTTTGAAAGGTAGGTTCAAAAAGACCTGCTTCTTAGGGATCCGTACTCACGTCAGTCTTGATTAATCTTTTCTGGCTGTGAATATCGATGAACTTCTGAGGATATCCGTTTGCGAGCAGCACCTTCTTTAATCTTTCCTCCTCTCCTTGCAAGCAGTCATCGGTGCAGATCTCCCGGGCTCTATGAAACAGGGTTCGCACCAGACCTCGTTTATAAGTAATTGGTGCAAAAGAAGAAAATTGCAAATACTGACCGCTCCAAGTGGCCTTGCGGTGCACTGAGCGTTGTAGTGAGCCATCCTGCCGTCTAGTGAGTGAAATGTCTAGGAAAAGATAACTGTTTATTTCATTTTCATGAGAATTAGAAAGATTAGGATGAACAGAATTAAAAAGGTTTAAAAGTGGAACAAAATAAGTATGACGTCTACATCGGCAGAACAGATCGGTGCCTACGACAAAGAATGGCTGAACATATGCCTAAGTGGTTGGTGCGCGCCATGACGCAACAGGCAATGGCAACAGAGCGAGTGAGACGAAATCCGACCTCATCCATTGCAAAGCACATCATGGAAACAGGTCACGTTGTTGACCCCGCCAACTCGTTTCAAGTATTGTTGCGTAATCGGAATCCGAAGTTGCTTGCCTTCTCCGAGGCAATGTTAATCAATACTCGCCGTCCGGTCCTGTGTGTGCATAAACTGTTGACTCACGCAGTTTGTCTGCCCTGGAACTGATAACAGTCCTTGTTTCATGTAAACCCAATCGTTGATTGTTTCTATTGTTGTTGCTATCCGCATGTCCTATATATTCTAATGTTTTACGTTCGTGACTGAAGAGAGTAAACGAAATGTTAACATCTCGCGACGTGTCTTCTATCGTTATTGGTGAACTGAATCAAGGGGACTCAGTGTTTTGAATAGAAGCGAACGTACAACTTCATATTCTGGTAAACTCTACTCGGCAATCCTGCGGTAGAGTTTCTAAGTGAGGTTAAATTAATTTGTCCATTGCACTGACTGGACATTGTTTAAGTCAGCCTGAAATAAACGCCAATCACAATTCCACATTCCGATAGACATTTAATCCAGTCTTTCACAACAAATAATCCAAATCGAGTTTCAGTCTTTCAAGAGCTCTTCTGCAGTGCACATCTTTGCCATGATCGACCATGAACTCCGGTCCATGTGCTCGATCCTTACATCGATAACTTCACAATAAGCATGACTGACTTGAATAACTTATGCAAAGATCGCACAGTTATGTAACAACCAACTTCCAGTCCGTTCTTCAGCCCACTAGAAGAGGAATTTCACTCTAAAACTGATTTTCGATTAACGATGCCTTGAGTTTCGATATGTCCTACTGTGGCATAGTCAGTGGTCATCGACATGGGTTGCTGTGATTACAGTTCACTCGGAGCAGTCCAAGTGACAAACTCCAATTCGAAGGAATTTACAAACTGTTTGCTGATTTGCTCTGTATCCAGACTAAGAGGTTTGAAATGTGGTTAAGAACGAGGGTCACATGCTGAAAATGGTAAAAATCTGTCTGAATACGAAAAAACTATGGTCAGGTTTGCGTGACGTTCGATTTATATCATTCAAACGTACATGGCTAGTCATCAGCAAGCAGATTTGTCTAATTATCACAAATGTATCACATAAAAACGAATTAAATGGACCCCCTCGCTTCTTTTTGTTTAACCAAACTCAGATTTTATCAAGACAAATGAACTGATTTCAACACTATCATCCACTTTTTAAATACCAAAATGTGTGTTGTCGTGTGTGTGTGTATGTAATTCTGATCCAAATGTTGTCATAAGATACACGCAAAGCATTTTGGCTCCTTCGCCTTTTTCAGTGATGGCAGTAGATCAACAACTCAGTCTAACGGTTATCGTTCTATCCAGTCTTTACTACGATCCATGCCAACACATATATATCAAGACACGTAGCACTCATTTACGATGATCAAAGAAACTTGCCGACAAAAGCTTATCAACTCTGAACAAACCACCCCCGAACAACTCTGACCTGTGTTCACAAATGGCAGTGACTGCGCAACGTTACCACCACTCACTCACCAAAATGTGTGCATTTTACACATCTAGATGGTATATGGTATACGTTGGGTCTGTCACAAATACAGTATCCTCTTCTTCACTGAGTGGTTCAATGGTATGAACCAAGACGTGTGGGCTTACGACCCACAGTGGAGCAATGAACACGAAGATGAGTTATGCAAATTGCACTACATGAATCGTGCAGGCGTGTATAGTCGGTGCGGTCGTCGATTTGTCGGAGGTGTCTGATTGAGATCCAGTACATGTGAACAAAGCGGCGCCATTCCATTGGATATGGCTAAGAATAGGTGCAAAAAACGCACAAAATAAAAGAAACATGCAGAGCGTGAATTGTTTGTGTGAATGGTAAAAGGAAATGTAATTTACTTGCGCCGTTTCTCATACTGGTAACTCAGATGTTCGTCTAGGTGGTTGTGAATTATGATCCATACTGGTCTATTGAGCTATGCAACACTTGATAATGAAAAACAGTCTAGTTTGCAAAATAAACAAGTGGATACTAGATTCATCTATACCACAGTTAGCAACATAAGTTATTTTTGTCAGGTTATTGGAACCCGAGCGGTGCCATACGAATTGGTATAGTAGCCTGCTTTATTTGGACATAAATCGGAATAAGAGGGGATACTCATTTATCAGAACAGCATTTTTCTCGATCAGTAAGCTAATCAATGCAAAGAGAAGGACAAATGTGTGAGTGAGTTTGAAATTACACGCATGAATAATAAACAGTCAACAATAAAGTGCCCCCAACGAGTTGCACATCCTTGGGGAACCAAGTACTGTTTTGTCGATGTCCTTGCCAGGGCGAGGATGTATTTTCAACCCGAAAAATTCTTTCAGTGAATGGGGTACTAATAAGTAGTTTGGCAGATTTGATGATTTAGAAGAGACCCAACTGCGAACAATCTGGACTTCGGCTGGGTTCGAACCAGCGACACAGAAACAGCGACAGAAACAACATGCATAAACGCGACAAATGCTCTATCAGCTGAGCTACGAAGCCACGCCGGAAGCTCAGAAATTTCACATTTGGACCTAGTTACCCACCCAACCAACTGTGTCATATGGAATCCACCAAATGATCCAGCCGATTGACGGTCCAATGAGTGCGATAACGGTAGTTTTGGATTAATAATGAATTAGAACTGTCAAACTAAATTTGGAATCATACTTTGATACTGGGATCACATCGAAAGTATTCTTAATTTGACTAAGTACGACTCACCTTCCAGAAGAATATACATTAACGAGAAACTCCATTTTGCAGCAAGCTGTAACGATTACTCAGTCAGTGTACAGGGTTGTATGAACACACACCGGAGTATCCATTGAAACTGTCCACATGTTTTTCAGACCAAATTACAAGGAACTGTTTGTCCCCTTTGGTATTCACTGCTGTTTAACAGCGGAACAACATGCGAGTTGGGATATGATCAAGCTTTTAGGTTCTACACGTAAGCCGATCAACGAATATTCGAATCCACAAAATATCGATTAGCTAACAGAAAAATTTAACCAGAGTTTTATCTGGGTTTCACTTTTTTACTGAGTTTCAAATGTTGTTACTCTGCTTTAAACGGCTGCTCGCAAGTGATCAGGACAGCAATCCACTTGAGACTGTGAACAGTTTCATCTATTTGGGTAGCACTATCTCGTCAGCTTGTACTATTGCTGAAGAGATGACAGTGAGAATTTCAGAGACACTCGCAGTCCCGCTGAACTACGTCATCTCTGGCGTCGGAAAGACGTCCAGTTGTAGTTAAAACAAGGGTATATAATGCTTGTGTGAGTGTGTTCTGCTTTGCTCTGCGGTTCGGAAACGTGGCCAGTTCGTGACAAAATCTCAACAACAACTGAATATTCTTACTAAGGCTCAGTGGGATGTCGACAAGAGGTAGTTTGACGGACAACTCCCTCAGTTCGTTCATTGTCATCATCAGGTAATGGGGATAAGTTGTTCGGAATAAACTTCATTCTAGGAAAAACCAATCTTGAGAAGTCTGGGCTTCGGCTGGACTCGAGTCAGCGGCAGAGGTAAACTGACCAGAAGCGACAAGTGTTCCACCAGCTGAACCAGGAAGCCCATAAAGCTTAGTTAGGCAATGCAGTCGCCGAGTCCGGTTATTTTGCTTTGGTTGCTGGTTCGAATCCACTCAAAGCCCAGACTTTTTACAACTA